GCCTAATTTAGGATGTATAGAATAGTTATAGCATTCTTTTGAGGGAGGAAATACTATGGGTGGTGGTTTTGTCACTCAGATCATGTCTGTCTCTTCTGATGCTGTGCTTTCTTATTGGCCTTCTATTGTCAGACATAATGTTCCATCTTGTAACAGGTGGATGTGATTTTTTTTCCCAGTAAAGCAGAACTTCAATAAGCTTAGTATGTTTATCTGACTAGAAATGAAAATCCATATCTCCTACATGGCTTTGAAAAAAGTTGACTATGCAGCCTGGTTTTGTCAAACTAGTTTGCCTAAAAATGCTTTCACAATGAGTCCTTTGTGTGGATTAGAGGTTATTGATGCTTTGTTTCTTGTGTGCAGTACATGAAATGTGATATGATGTCAATGAGGTTTTGGTGGTCTTTGGAGAATATACCCTTTTATGTCCTTGAGCTTTATCAAGTTTCTTTTCTGGTTTAATGAATGGCAATTTAAGGGACTCATGCAGTTTGTTCCTCAGTTTCCTGTACTGCTGCTTTAATTACAGTATCAATAGTACAGGCTATACTTTGAAATTTTCCAGCTTTTGGTTCTCTTGCTCTGTTTGCCTGGGTGTGCCTAAGCAGTGACACCTGGGGCACGACCACAGCTGCTCCTTCCCAAGTCGACAAATTTTTCAGCCATACTCAGTGATGTGCCCAGTTTTGCAAAGAGCCTGGCTCACTCCTGAGGCAAACAGGACATGATGCAGGGAAGCATGAGAAGTTTTTCAGTGAGGTTAAGTAGTGCTGTTTGTCCTTGTGGCCTCATTTGCATCCCCAGTAGCAGCCCCTTTGTCCCAGCCAAGGAGCAGCGTGGGCAATCCTGTCGCATTATTTCCGGCACCGTGAACACGCCAGGAAGTCCCTGTGCCAGGTACTGCCTTTGCAGGAGTGTCACCACGAGGGAAAGGACCAAGAGTTTTGGGAGCCACTGCAGAATACCAATGTTTTCCCCTGTCCCAGTTATGGCCTTTATGGGACAGTCTTTTAAGTTACTTAAGTAATTGTTAATTCAGTTGCTAGGAGATGGAATGTGTTAGATCACTCAAGAAATGTTTTTGATTAAATCCAAAGAGACTATGGAATAACCCTTAAGTTACCAGAGACTTTTTATCAAGGGAAATTGGCAAAAATTTAAGCCAGTTGTGTATGATCAATGAAAAGCATCAGGTCATGTTAAAGGCCATGGATGCTGGAAGGTTCCAGAATAAGCAGTTTTCGTGTTACAGGCCTATCTACCCTGAGCAATTTATTCTGCTTTTGACTTAGGCCAGACTAAACCTACTACTTAATTTTACAGTGGAACTTACTGCTTTTGTAAAACGCTTTTGCATTTAGTTGTGGACCAAAAGCAGTAAAGATGCAGTTGAAACTGATTATTCCTTTTTAGCTTTGTGCTGCTTGGGGACTTCATCAGTTGAGGGAGAAGCATTTCATGAAAAACTGTGGCTTCACTGACCTCAGTGAGGAAGGAGTCTTATCCCCGGCCTTTAGAGGAAGTCTCTCTTTGATGGGAGTGAGGAACAAGGATCAAATCCAAGAGCAAGCAGAGTGAGTAGTTTTCTATGCTCTCTCTGTCAGACAAATAGAAAAATTTTGTTTCTCTCTAGACTGTACATTTTGCACCAGTTGGAGTCTAGAATTAATCTTAATTAAACAGTGTACATTTAGGGAGCTCCACTGAGATCAATTAAGTAATTGTGAAAGAAATGTGAATTAAAGCTTCAATTTTGACTAAATTTTAATAAGGGTTTACATTTCTTTAAGTGTTTAGTTAATAGCAATTATCAGTCTTCTCCAAGAAAAATTTTAAACCAATAAAGGACAGTGCTGTGGTAGAATTGAATTTGAATCATGTTGTAAATCATGAAAATGTACAAGATGTCCCATTTCCAAAACTTCTAAAAGAAACTTCTAAAAGAAAACTTCTAAAAGAAGTTTTGAACATTAATATTGTGCAATTAGTTTATATATATTTCACTATTGATGGTTCCAAACTAAACTTCATTTATTTCTATTGAAAGGCAATAAAACACATACTGGATTAGATTTCTTTTGATGTTTCAAACAGCTCATTGTCCTTAGGGTTATAGATTCTAGTGCTATTTATCAATCTATTCAATAAATTTCTGTATTTTTGGAATCAAGCCTGAGAGTTTAACCTTAGTTATCAAAATCCATTTTAAAATCTGTGATTTATGTTAAAGTGCATCATCAGGGGGTGATTGTTTGGATTTCTTTGCTGTCATGCCACCAACTTTTCCTTTTTGAAATGGATAGATGTTTCAAGACAGGAAACAGTGGTTTCTGTTTCCATGCAGATTATTTATCTCAGCTGCAAGCCCAAAGTGCAAGAAAGGAAAGTTTCCAGTTTTGAACTTCAAGAATTGCCTATTCTCAACTGTATGAATATGTATGACAACTGCTCTTTTGCTTAGCACTCTGGGGGAGAAGATACCGAGTTCTGATTTTGCTTTTTATATAAAGTCTGCACTTTGATGACTAAATAACCAGGTAAAATACTCATTTAATTATACACTGTACATATATACAGCATCAGGATGTTATTCCTGGGTGAATGAAGTAGCTCTTTCAACTAATATTTTGGTTTTAATGTCATTGTCTTGCTATGTTTTCTCTCAGCTATGATAAAAGGCTGCTGTGCAAAAGATATTATTTGACATGTGATACTCTTACAAGTACCAGTAGGATTACTCCTTACAGTAGGCACTGAAGAGCAGTTGTTAAAAGTGCTGTAAAGAGTTTAAAATAGTGCAAAATACTCTAACGAGGGTAAGGCTGTGTACAGGATACAGAGCAATGTTTCTGATGCCTCAGATTTTAGCTTTCATGTTTTTCAGACTCTGTGCTGCTTTAGTGTGTAATTCTGAGCCTCATTTTAAGGGATGGTGAGCTCTCTTCACAGAGTAGGGAGACAAAACAATTCCTTCTCCAGCTGGGGACCAAGGACAAATGATCCAAGTCTCAGGCCAAGAGTGCAAACAACGTGGGCTGAAGAGAGAAAACAAGAAGGATGGGACTGCATTGGCTAAAGATGGAATTGGACAATTAACTCCAATATGCAAATGGAGCAGAACTTATAAAAATGAGAGAACCAATGACTGGTCATCCATTTTGGGACCATTTTGGGTCTATCTTGGGTGTAGCCGTGGCTGGGCTCTTGTGCTGCCCAAGGATTTTAATAAATCCCTACTTTATTCTGTAGCTCTATCCAGCCTGTGTTCTAGGTCAGCCTTCACAAAGTCTCATTTTCTTCCTCTTGGGCAGACAGGGCCTGGAAAAGCCCTGCTGGAGGGCAGTTAGGGATGGGCAGGAGAGCACTTACACTTGGCTCACCTTGGGAAGGGCTGAAGGCAGCACAGCCCCTCAGCCAGAGCTGCCAGGGCTGGGGTGCTGCTGCCTCTTCCCTGCTCTGACATTTGCCTGCTCTGTGAAACGAGCCTTATCTCAGTCCTGCAGCTGATTGAAAGACCCGAGAAGCCATTGATCTGGTTCTTTTGAATTCCGTGGGCACCAGATTGGGATCATAAGGAGAGAAGATGAAATAATGAAAAAACAGTCAGATATACATTAGAATCTTCAGCTGCTAGATTATGAAGAGCTGGGTGAAGCAGTGGGGGAACTTCCATGGGCTCAGTGCACGTTATTTCTCATCTTGAACATCCCTCATCACAGAACATATTTGCTACCTATAAATTCAACATTTGACATTATGAAATTCAGTTAGTTGACTAGATTTAAAAGCTGGCTTGGATATAAATATTTTTTTTAAAGTCTGTTGTTGTGACTTTACATTAAGTATTTCAACTTTTGTTTCAGTTTTTTCATCTGCAAAGTGGGGAAGTACTTTGCTGACATGTTCTTGTGGTTACCTAAGAAAATTTTATAGGTTTGGAAGCCTGGACCCTTTCCTTAGTGATGGGGAGCTCCAGGAATGTGCAGTCAGCAGCTTTCACAGACAGTGATCAGCCTGAGCAGTCCATCCTTGCAGAGGAGAACACGTTGATGAGGAAACAACAATAGGTAGAATGAGAGACTCCATCGGAGGCAAACTGAATACCAAATGAAAAATTTCCCAATTAAATTGTTTTAGCAAATAGAAATAAATTAGAAAAGCAAAGAATAGAATTTTCCATAATTCTTGAAATAATTAAAAACTACAGATGCACAGTCTATGATGGATATGACTGGAAAGAAAAAATATGAACGGTGTGTTTACAGAATTCACTAGATCTAAATGTCCAAAATGGAAAATGTCACATGAGCAACTTTAAAATATATTGCAAGTCAGCTCTGCAAACTCATGAACTGAAATAGGTTCTTTGGTTGAAAAAATATTTTCTCCCTCTAACTATATGGGGAACTGTAAAAAAATGGATCTCCCCTTAGGGGAAAAAACCCCAAAGTTATTTTCTTTAATTGCAAGTCAGCGGGTGAAGGAAATTAATGCACATGGACCAAAAAATATGCTTTTCAATGCATTGGGTTCTCTTTACCAGGTTTGCTGACTTTTTAATATACAGCATAGCAGGAAGTTCACACCTGTTCCTGTCCTGAACATTCTGGTAGAGAAATGGATGTCAGACTAAGAGGAGAATTCTGTGTATTTGCCACAAGTACCACACAAATTTTTCTGAAATAGTAAACAGGCACTTGATTGAAAACATCTGATATTTATTCTTTCCTAGGAACAGTTAATAACCCGTTGTTATGCTGGCAGTTGTTTTGGATAAGAGTCCTTAATTTCCATTTTAATCTCTTAATTTTAAAAGAAGCTGCCCAACATTTCCTTCACTTGGAGCCCTAATGTTCGTCACAGCTGTTTGTGATAAAGCCACAGCAGTCAACAGTGCAGTGACAGAACTTTGTAACTATTTAAATGTAGTAACTTAGAACTGTAAAGCAGAACTACAAAATCTTTTTTATTTTGTTGCTTTGTCCTGTGCTTTCTAGGTGAAGAACAAGATCATCTTCTGTGCTGTAGAGTTGCACAAGATTTGCAATGCTTCAGTCTCATGTATATAAGGTAATCAAGCTCACCTTTCCATTTATAAGTTATTTTCTAAAAGTTTGTGTTTGAAGTTTTTCTAAAGCAAATAAAAAGGTTAGTGATGTGTGCTACATAAAGCATACTTTAATAAGAAAGACAAAAAACAATTAAGTGTTTTCCAGTGGCTGTGATGCAGTCAACCTCTCATATTTTCACTTAATCTGACATATTTAAATATGTATTACAACCTACCAAATCCCAGAAATATAGAATAAATGAAATCAAATACAAATAAATATTTAATTCTGTTTATATTAACTGCCTTTGTTGAGAATGGCAATAACTGAGGTTCCTGGCAAAGGATCTTTCAAAGCTGGTATCTGGGTGAAGAAAGTGAACTTAAATACATATTGTCAAATAGATGTATAAATAAGATATGAGCAAGGTGCTTATACCAACATATGACTTAGCATTCTGGGAGGAAAATTTGATAATAAATCTCATTAAATGGTGTGATATACCAGTAATATATATATAATACAGTAGTATTGCTGTATTATTCCCCAGACTTAGTCACACTCTTAAACTTTTAAAGAAAAATGACAATAACATTGATTCCAAGTAGTTAGAAGAAATTGGTTAGTGAGTTGATAGATTTTCAATTATCTTTTGTTAGAGGGGTTTTAACATATTCTTAGAAGAACAAGAGAATATTTCAGAATTCTGAAATGCAAGTGTTTTTATTTGTAAGTGGCAGGAAAGGATAAATATATTCTGCTCCAAATGTCTGCCCTAAACAGAGATTCCTAAAGGCAGTCTTCACTGCCTAATGCCCAAAATGCTATTATCTGTCTCTAGCCCCACAATTTAGTGGGATAAAACTATGTAAAGGGTGTTATCTCTCTGGAGATTTTTGTTACATGTCTTTTGCATCTAAAGTTCAAAGGATTTGCAGGATCTGTATATTGAGCCCCTTGTGACCATCTGCCCTGAAGTGGTCATGACACACGAGTGGCTCTGGAGCTGGATCTTAGCAGTAGCTCTAACAACACCTTGCAGATGATATTTTATGGTTACTCCAGGTATGAACCTGAAGAGCATATTGGTGTATACAAATGATTTCTGCACGTGCAAACCCTTTCAGAGTAAAAGTTACAGCTATTTTAGTAGAAGAGTATTGTTTTGCCATTGTGACTGCTTAATAATTTACATCAGGGTTGTATTAAATAACTACTAATGCTTTGAGGTTCCTGAGTTCAGATATGTTTTTGTATTAGGGGACTGCTGTGTGTTTGCCACCTCCCAGGGATCCATCTGTATATATGACATGACATTGAAAGCTTGATTTCAAAGCCCTCTGTGAAACATCTGTCAGAGTTGTCAAACAATGATGAGGCAGAAGCTACAATTTCAGCAGTAGTATGTAAAGCTTTAAATGATAGTCTTTTTCCAGTAACTGACGTTGGCAGTGGTCTGTGATGCTAGTCAGTATCTCTAAAAGGACATGAATACACCCTCAAGGGCAACCTTGCAAATACCTGTCATTTAGAAGTAGATGAAATTGCAATTTCTCCCTAAATTACTGCTCATATTTCCCCATCCCACAAGTAATTTTCAGCTATTCATACATGCTCAAAGACTAGCTTGGCACTAGAATTTGGTGCCAGATGATTAAAGTGACAAACTAACAGTAGGAATCATAACAGTGTTTTTTAGAGTGTCTTCTCTCTGAATTAGGGTGGTGTTTTTGTGTAGCCTGAAGGGATGTGGAAAGCCAGGGTTGAAGTGTGGGAGAGAATGTGGTTTCACAAAAGCACTGCATGCTTCAGCTACTGAGTTGTATCTTAGCAGCAGTGATATCTTGGAGAAAGGCTTTTTTCTATTTCTATGCACGCTGCGTACACATGACTATACTTGCATATGAGATTTTGTTTTAATTTAATTTGGGGACAATTTTATTTCATTCTAAGCACAAGATTTTAAAACACCATTTAAGTTATGTTTATTTCAGCATATGCTTATTAGTTTAAATAAGACTTTGGGGAGAAAAAAAAGCCTGTATATTAAAATTGGAGCAAAGATATGTATGTAAAGGTTTTATACAAATAACCAGCTTGTGAAAGAGATGGGGTTTGTTAAGTATAAATTTTACATCTGAATCATTAATAATTCCTAAATTTTTAATCCTTCATCAGATTGCAGAGAGAACAGTCAAATACTGAATTAAGAGATAGGTACCCAACAGTATCAGAAATCTAGTTCACCATAAAAACAACAACAAAAGATTTCTAACAGTGATTTTATGATATCTATTTACCACAAACTCCTTCTAATGAGGACTTTCAAGCAGTTAACCTTGAATTAATCCTTTAACATGGCTATACAATTAAATCTATTTTACAAATGTGTTGCCCTATAGATCATTTCTGACCTAGCAATACTGTTTCTACTTCCATGATGATAAACTGAGTGAAGTATTAAGGCTTTTATTCATTAATTCTTTGTCTTGTTTTGTGTAATGATACGCTTTTGGATAAACGAGTGTTATCTGCACATCACTGCAGAAAATACTCAAATGTCAGATATAAAGAATGGGCAATAGTCTTAACATTTTATTTGAAATAATATCCAAGCTAATCCTATGGAATCTTATTCAGTTTATAGACTGACTTGGAATTTTCAGTAATATTTTCTGCTATTTTTCCCCTGACTTTCCCTATAACATACTCAATTCTTAATACAAGATTGGAGTGCTTTAAGATATGGATGGCTGGTGTATGACTAACAGTGTTTAATAACACTTGTGAGAATGACTAAACATTGGCTGAAAATATTTCTCTGCACTGGAATTGCAGTGAAATTGCTGTGCTGAGAAAATTGCTGTTGAATCAGAACGCTGCTCAAGTAAATAGAATAATTTGTTTCATTCATTAGGGTCACTAGACAAATTAGCTGCAGCTTTTCCTACAGACTGACACTACTACATTAAATGTGGAAGAGTGGCAAATGCAGAGAAGTGCTGATGGAACAAGGAAATGATTTGCAATATTAATTCTGTAGAAGTCTCTGTCAATATTCTTTGCAAACGAAATTATTCTTGTGTACCATGATAAATTCTCAGCTGTAACAAACACAACCAGTCTCTTATTTATGTCTCCACATTTTTATCTTTCCTGAGTCCTTCCAGTTCTTATGAAAGGCAGCAAGGAGCTAAAATATAACAATTTCTTAACTGAACAGTTTTCAGATGGGTGGTTAAATCTGGCATTTAGCTTCATGGTGAGCTTGTTCCCAAAGATTGCTGCCGTTCTGGTGCAGGACAGGAATTTGCTCTCAGCCTGCTGACACCGAGTGTGCCACCGTTCCTGCAGCCAGGCTAGAGGCATGACTGTTCCACTGACTATTTCACCAGGAGAAGTGTTTTATCCACTTCTGCCTCTGTGTAATGCTGACTCTGAAGCAGCTCGCTTTTGTAGGAGAGACACAGTTCAGCTATGGAAGATGCCATTGCCCAAAGATAATGACATTTTTAAATCTGAAACATGATTTTGTGGTGAAGTATTTTGGTATGAGAAATAGAGCTGTTTTTTCTGATAGATGATTAAATTTTGCAATATATACTGCATTCAGTAGTGTATCTGTAAGTCGGTGCAGCTGAGCACTTCAGGGTCAGGGCTTTCTGTTCTCTATGTAATGCAAAAAGCAAAACATGGAGGCAAAGAACCCCTTAGCCTCTGAAATTTTAGAAATCGGGTTTGGTCCTTTGAAACTAAGCTACAGTGTTGGTTATGTTTCGATTGCAGAAGTGAGGTAGAAAAGAATTCATCAGGAATGTTTCCTCTGATGGAATTATCTTAACAGCTTGGTATCCTATTTTTGAATTATTTTCATTTCCTTGTTGTGTTTGGTAACGAAAAAATAAAATTGTCTGAGTCAACATCTGAAGACACAGTTAGCAAAATAAATCAGGAGAATTACTGTAACAAGTTGTTGAAATTAAAAGCTAGCTTGTGCTGCTGTTATCAAGTTTAATGAAGGTGTCAGAAGCTAAATACACATATTAATCCATAATTCCTAAGATAATTCTGTTCACTGCAGTTTAGAAAACTCAGCAGGAACTCATGAAGCAATGCACCTTTAACAATCTGCATAATGTTTTTATTTACAGATTGACTTTGCTCCAAAAGGAGGTATTTTTTGAAATAAGCATTGTGAACAGAAATGAATGGCTCCAGGGACTCATAGTTGGAGAGTCAATAAAGATTTTGGTGCTACTTCATAGAATTGTCCTCGCTGGTAAAATTTCAGCGTAACATGACATGTGTCTGGTTGGTTATGTGAATTCTCTTTCTGAAGGATTTCACTTTATTCAGGATTGTTATCCTCTGGCTATGTCTTTGCTAGGGGATGCAGATGGAGTGATTTTCTTTCTCGATTTCACACCTGTGATGAGGAGTGGAAACCCCTCAGTGATGAGGACTGGTGCTCAGTCCTCTAAGTTACTATTTAGGAAAATACCAAAAAATGAAGGATTTCAGCTCTGAGTCTCTTGGACTAAGGACAGAGTGCTGCCCTTGCTGATCATTTTAAAACCCCAACCCTGGTTTTCTGTTTACACCTAAAACAGTTCAGAGAAAATATTTTCAGGCTCTTTCAGTCCTCTGTAGTTATTATTCACTCTCTAACCTCTTTAGCATGCTGGAGCACAGTCTGCCTTCTATTTGTTCCAAAAGGTGAATATCCTCATCCTCAAACTGTTCCATTGTTAGAAATGGAATTGTGTGGAATCAATTATTTTGCAATGTGACTAATGAATTGCAACACACTGGGTTCCTATCCTAGTAACTACAGAGTTATTTTACCTCACTAAGCAATAGTTACCAGCTGCATTTAGTTACCCTGAATTCGGCTGGCATCTTTCATCTTAGAAAGTCATACTATCAGTTGGTGCCTAACAGCTCTTTTTTACCTTTAGGCTTGGTCACTCTAACCTAGACAACAGCTATTTATATGTCTCATGTAATATTTGCTGGATT